TTTATTACACCCACGGGAAAGGAAGAAGTGGTTCCGGCATAGACTGGACCCGGTACACACGGTATATTATATCGTCATATTTCAGTATATTTCATAGCGCAGTCATTATATGCAGAATAATATTAAAGTAGCTTTCTTTGTGAGTGAGATGTACATTGCCAAATGGACCCAATATGATTAATCCGGCCCTGCATTGAAAGAACCTTGGGTATCTCTGTCCCATTCGTGTTTCTACCGTGAAGCTGCTGTGTTTGCATGACTGTGTTTCGGTTTGAAGGGTGGGATATGGCGTGAATTTACAGGGTACAGAGGAATAACATCTGAGTCTTCAGGAATAGCAACGCATGGGGGGTATCATGGGCGTAACAGTATACTCTGTTATGTCCATGGTACTGCTCATGTCTATAGGCGACGGTTAACTCTTTCCATCAGGTGGGCCGCCAGCTTGTTTGCCATTCTAAGTTGTATAAAAAAAAAGAAAGAAAGAAAGAAGGAAATTATTTTATTTATCTAATTTTTTTTAAACAATCATTTTTAATATTTCTACCACTCATTAGGTATACAATTTCAGTTAAAATATAAGAGCAAGGACTCCGTTGTGGCTTTTTTCAAAAATATTATTTCTATTTTTTTTGCCCAGTTATAGTAAACATAATACACACCCATATTTTGCCAAGTGTATTAAATTTCAACATTGCACGAGAGAGAGCCCACTCGAATTAATTTGATTTGTTAATGATACTCATCATCGGTGGTTTAATTTTCCAGAAACATTTAGGTATGAACATTAGGTATCTTCAAATTTAATTATATTTTTCTGTTTTTTTTTTTAATTGCCTATTTTTTTGTAAATAATGTTTACTAGCAGCAAAGGATGTAAATGACTTTAGTTTATTTCCGTATTTTATATGAGCTTTTTCCTCGCTATTTTGTTTTTCATTTCAGAAATACGAAAATCAATAAAGTATACTTCTAGATGGTGTATCAAAGTGAAATTTACATCAGATTTAAAATTAGAACACAACTGTAAAAACCGCATCTAAATTGGTGCAAAGCTTTTGCATATTACCAGAATAAACATAGTAAACATATAAATAGACAGAGAGAGGGAAATTTTGATAATTTAACATCTCATGTAATTTTTTCTTAAATATCGCTAATGCTAGTTACATTGTTTAGTTACAATTTAATTAATAAGGCAGTAATAATATCAATTAAGAAATAATTGAATGGGGTCACATAACATGTTCACCCTGGATGCTTTATAGGTTATAAGATAATAAAGGCAGGCGGTAACCGGATATTATGTTGTTACGTACAGGAAGCCTGACTATTCTATATAGTTTCTGTATAAATTTACCACGAGAACTCGTGCTACAAAGTGAATCTCGATTCTTAGTCATTATAATTTTTTTTTGGCTTCATTTTTGAGCATTCATACCTACTCGTCTCGTTATTGTGTGTAAAATAATTGTATATAGTACTATATTTTTTTTTATTCAACTTAGAATGGCAAACAAACTGACAACCCACCTGATCGAAAGTGGTAATCGTCGCCTATAGACATGAGCAGTACCATGGACATAACAGAGTATACTGTTACGCCCATGATACCCCCATGCGTTGCCATTCCTGAGGACTCAGATGTTATTCCTCTGTACCCAGTAAATTCATTACTATATCCCACCCTTCAAACCGAAACACAGCCATATAAATACAACTGTTTCACGGTAGAAACACGAATGAGACAGTGGTGCCCAAGCAAATGACTTTTGTACAAAGTCTCCCTCTGGTAAAAAGAAAAGAAAACAAACACATAATTTTTTTTATAATACAAAGAAAAATATAATATATATTTATCTTTGTATTATTTTTTAAGTGGTGCATTAAAAAATAAATAAATAAATACATAGTTAACCCATAAATATATAAAAATATTACCTAATAATATTGAATTAAAAAAAAAAAATTGATTTCAATTGTGACCAAACCAATTATTTTGATATAAAAATTAACTGAACCGCTTTTAATAAAATTTATATGGGCTTTCTAAGTATATCCTATCAAATAAAAAAAAAAGAATTTTCTAAATAGGTTTACAACTGACGAGGTAACAAACATAAAAAATTACAATCGAATTCAGAACCTTATTGACATTAATTTAAAATACAAATTTACTATGGTACCACAGAAAAATAATTATATTTTTAATCAGTTTAAAAAAAGAACGGGGATCTTAATTCAATTGTATTCATAATTTGTATCCAAAAGTAGGATTTCAAAATTCGTTTCTATATTTCATTATTGAATCTTTAGTTTTTTTTTTTTTTGTATAATGCGATTTTTAATTTATAACTTTTAAAATTTTTCTATAGTACCATAGTAAGTCTGTATTTTACTTCACAACGTATCCGTCCAGTAATAGACAGGGAAAATGCTCATTATCCCGAGCCATACTTCGTGAGAACGTTTCATAACGTGATAACAGAAATGATGAGATAAATATTTGACGTTTTTTGTTAGTACACCGAGCAATCAATATATATTAATTTTGTGAAGAAAAGCTCGCCTTATTTTTCCATAGGCACCTACTTACTATTTAGGAATTTTCCTGGAAATAATTTGTTATGATTTACGAAGGGAGAGGGGGAAATGTTCGTTCGATTAATCTTGATACAGGAAGGTACTCTGTGTAGGCACATACATACATTGGTTTATTTGAAAATATTTTTAATGCATTTAGAGCTCTATTAAGATACGTACCAGGAGAGCAAAAGCTTGAGGTGTTACATTTCATTTAATTTTAATAGATTGATATATACTTTTCAACACGCAATCCACCGAGATTAGCATCAATACCTCTCAGCTATTAAAATCAAGTGCTCTCTCAGTTAAGAGTGTAGTAGTAAATTTTTTTCTCACTACGGGTAATAAAAGTCAAATAAAAAATTTGTTCACAACGTTTTATTGCACCGTGTAACATTTGTATAACGTTCAGTTATCAAGACTACTTTAAATACAGTGAAGAGACCACACTGTAAGTGTACAATTTGGCCACGTTAACTTACCAATTGTTACAAAAATTAACTTAACTAATGACTTACAAAACTTGTCTTTTTGTAGTAGATATATATAAAGGTTCCAAATTATTTTTTAATTAACAGTTTATTATCTTTTCATCTAATGTTAAGATAGAGAGGTATCAAACAGATTTCTCATAGCTGCTAAAGAAATAACGAAGAAGCATATTTTTCTAAAACTAAGTTAACAAGCTCTTTTTTAAGCATTTATGACAGATTTTTTATTACTAATATTTTCAATAAAATCAAATATTTGAACACATTATAAAATTTCGATAAAGATAATATAGAAATCTTCGCCGTACTTCGACAAATGACATATTCTTAAATATCAGAAACTAATCTAAAGAAATATTACATAGAGAAAAGATATGATTTTTTAACAGACATTTCGTTCTCGTCTTAATATTAATGGTATTCTGTAAATATTAAAGTCACAGAATAACTTGGTTTTTATTCTCACAACTTCAGCTTGTATTTCTGTTTTTCTTTTTTTGTAATTTTCAAAGTGAAGGATATTTTATTTTATAATAATAGCACTTCTTAATCTAGTAGTATTATTAGAGTGTAACGCATAATCTATTCTTTAAATTTCATTAAATAGCAACATATTATAGACCAATCTCTTTGTTGTCAATAATGTCAAAATAGTTGGAAAAAATAAATCAATTTTAAGTGACAGAAACCTCATATTAGACTATCACAAACGTTATTAAAAACCCTTTAGAAGACATTTACACCACAGTATTTCTAGATATGGTACGAGCTTTTGATAAAGTGTGAAATGATGACAAACTTAGACTTATGCTCCTAAAATAGTTTGTAGATATTCTGTAATCTTATATTTCAAACGGGACATAAACACAAAGTAAGTAAGTACAAAAAAGCATATTTCGAATTAAAACAAATAAAAGCTGGTGTACCTAAAGGAAACATACTAGGTCCAATGCTGTATCTCTTATACACTTGACGTTTTTATGAATAAGAAGATTAGTCTATATCAGTTAAGTTAAGCTAAATTGTAAAAGGAAAAGAATACATTATGAACATTACACAAAAAAGCTATATTAGGCTACATTATTACAGAGAATAACATCGGTTGTACTATTTTTTTTTTTAATTAGAGGTTTACCTGTGCAAAGTCATGGCAGGTCTCTAGTTATACATAAAAAAAACTAATACGAAATAACTAATGTCTGTTACATATATTTAATGCCATTGTCTGTTGGAATATTATTTTTGTGAAATACGAAGTACGACGAAGATTTTTGTAATCATATATTATTTAAATTATTAATTTTCGTATGCATACACTGTTTCAATTGTTATGAAAATACAATAGATGATCCTCGGGCCGATAAAAAAATAGATATAGATAGAGATAGATGATGCCATTTGATGCTTTATCTACAAATTGAAATTGTTACTCGTTTGAATATTTGATTCGCGAAATTTATGTCCTGATATTGTACTGATAGTCAGATTTTCAGTTTTAAGTACGACTAACTACTTAAATTTCATCCTGTATATAAAAATTACATGTGTATTTTTTCCACTTAAAAATACTTATTAATGTCTAATTTAGTTAACACGTTTTTCTTTCCAATCTATAATTTGGAATTTCAAATCTGTATCTATTTCGATCATTAAGCATTTTGATCATGATACTTTAAGCAAAAAAAAAAATTACACGCTAAGTATGCAGTTACGATATCTATTTCAATTTGAATCTACGAATTTCAAAAAGGTTTAATACAATGTTAATAGTGTAGCTGCGGCTTAACGCAGGTCTGCTTAGTAAGCCAATGTTGACAGGCTACGGAATGGGCTCACACCGCAAACGGATTCAAGAGCTCAAAGCTACAGCAAAAAATGGTTACGCAAAATATTTTGCAATTGCGACATAATAGATGTCGCAGTTCATATCTATGGGTTAAAAGGATTCAATACAGGATTAGTGTGACCGCAGCTTAATATACGTCCATTTAGTGTTGACAAGCTATGAAATGGGCTCACACCGCAAGCTGGTACAAGAGCTTGTAGCTAGCTTATGATACAAGCCACTTAAAGCTGTAAATTGGCTTAGTTTGTGAGCCCGGACTTTAGTTTCTGGAATATTTTATGTTGTACTCCTTTTATATGCGTTGTTTCCATATTTTATCTATTATTATTAGATATAACCACAAATTTGTATATTTTTAATAGAGACAGTGCGAAGAAAAAGAAAAAGTGTATGGTAACGATAAGTAAGTGAGGTAAGTACGATAGTACTTAAGAAACAGGATAATTCTCTCATGTGGCGTAGTACTCATGGCATACAAATTTGTTTTAAAAACTTTTAAAAATCAAGCTTTTATAATCTAATCTGCCATCTTAAAGAGATAGGCCATATTGAATTTAGTGTGACGTTATTAACTTTATCGTTTTCTACTCTTATAGCCCTTTTATTTAAGCCCTTTTAAAGTGATTGAAAAAAATACATGATCCACCATTTTGTGACAGCGGCCATTTTGAAAATATTACAATGTATTGTCGTCAGAACTAAATAATGTATATAAAATTTGAGCTCAATCAGATATTAAGAAGTGGTTCTAACTCTAATTTATCTTGCAAGATTTGACCCGAGCAATCTACTTAATATACATTGCAAATTAAATAAAAGCTTGTAAATAAAACAATTTTAAGCCTTTCTTTTACTTCTTATATAATAGTTCGCTCCCAACATCCCAACTTACCTTGAATACAGTTTTCTATGCAATGATATTGAAGTATTACAGATTTCTGTTATATATATTCATTTAACATATATTTTTTTCAGAATAAAAGAAAATTATTAAACAATAATATAATAATTATCATAAAGTCTATAGTAAATTCCGTAAAATTTATAGAAAATTAAGATAGCACACCTTTACCAAGACCACTGTGTTGTATTAAAAATAAGTATAAACTCCTAAATGGTACATGTGGTATACTGTGATAAATTAAATTATAATAATTTATATTAGTTTCACTCGTGTATCTTCTATCAAATGACAAAATGATTGATGATGATGATGATGAAACGTGCACAGTAAGAAACAATTTGTCAATAGCATCTAATAAATCGGTAGTATCAATATAATAATACTATTAACATATATATTATTTCATTACGACAGCGAGTTCAAAGCAATACTATCGATCAATTAACAATATAACCGATTACGATTAAACAAATCAATCTTGATTAACTATTTAGTCAATTATTTATTAAAATTTAAATCATTGGTTATAACCTTACCCCTTTATTCATAAAAACTAAGACGTCCTACAAACCCATTTTAATAATTTACTGTGACTTTGAAGTTAGGAATTTATTACTGACTTTCAAGTTAAGAATTTATTACTGACTTTCAAGTAAGGAATTTATTACTGACTTTCAAGTTAGGAATTTATCACTGACTTTCAAGTTAGGAATTTAGCACAAAAAAAAAAGAGTCAGAACAGTTAAATAGCTAAAACAGGTTTATAAAAGCTTTGATATTTTTATGAATAAGGGAGTTAGATTATAGTTATAATATTAATAATATTATAATAAATCGATATCTCACCAGTGTGTGCATGCCGATAGTACAGGCGAGGTTACCACTCCATTTTCATCCAGTTGAACTCCAAAGATAAGTACGTAAAACCGATATAAATTATTATAAATTTTATATAGTTTTAAAATAACGACTAGCGTACAACAGTAGAGGAAGCACATGGGTAAGAAGCACAACACAGAGTAAATATTTAACGGCCATAAAGACCCATAGATAGATTAATGCACTCTAACATTCTTAAAAACCATATAATACAATGTAGTAATAATTATAATAAGTCTATGGTTGACAGTATTTATTTTATATACAATTTATTTCTATTTAAACAACCAATAAAATTAAGAGAGTTACAAATAATAACTACAAATAATTCAAACCTAAATACTCTGTCATAGTAACAAATTTCATAATTTAAAATAATTTTGCTCTTGAAACTTATAAATAATTGAAGCGACAGAGTACCATTGTAATTACGCATAATAAATTAAGAAAAAAAAAATTAGATTTATTCATGTCTCAAATATTAACATTATATAATTATAACTTTCTTTTCGAAAGGTCTCCATATTTTTATTTGTTTTTCTTAAAACCATTCGAACTTTGTTTAAAGTTTTGTTTATTTTCATCGAATTACCTATGATGGTATCTATACGAATAAAACTATTTGCTTTTTAATTTCCTATTAAGATTTTGCTATTAAATACAAATTCGAAGAACCTCTACAACAAGACAATAGTAGAAAAGTGTAAAAGTACCCTGGAAAATAACATTTTCAAACCATTACAATTTAAAGCTTGAAGTATTGTTAGATAAAGTTGACAATTGGTTAGCATATTCTCAATTTATATATAAGTAGGAAAGTAATAATAAAAAAAAATTAAAAATTTGACATTCTGTGCTTTCCAAGTGGTTAATTAACTAAAAATAAATTACTTAGGTGTATATGTTTTAAAGATATTAGCAAAGCTATATACTGATCCTGTCTCAAGATACGCTAGAGACTCGTTTAAAAAAATTACTGCGCAATTTTATATTGGCACTTCAGGAGCCATATTCTGAATATATTATGTATCTCAACTTTATTTGTTATTCTGTAAAGTCCAAATTACAAAGTATCCATGAATTTTCAGATATTAATTTTAAGAAATAATTGTATTTTACGGTTTGTTAATTAAAATGTAACTTAATATTAAAGCAATAGAGTTACATCTTGAACGAACGTTGTTAGCTAACTTCATTTAAAGCTAGATGGTTTAATCAAGTCATTTGATTTAGAAATTAACATTCTATTATTATTTGAAATTAAGCAATACGAGAGATAACACCCATTTATTTTACAATTTCAACGAATATTAGAACAAATTGGAATTTTGGATTAATTTAAATCCAGTCACACGTGTTCTTGTTGTATGAATAAAAAAACATAAAAAAGGTACGTACTATAATTTTTTTTATAGCGAAAAATTACTACATGTATCTACAAATTATAAAAAAAGAATTTTAAATGAATATAAATAATAAGTAATGAAACCTCACGTCTATACGTTTTATGTTCCCTAATCCACAATCTAGCAGTGCTAAGCAACCACACATCTGTTCTCATGAGACCCAGCCCCCCCACCAGCCGACGAGTCCGGCATAGGCTCTGAAGTCCTCCCCCCTCCGCTCCATTCTAGAGCATCAATCATTTCCATCAGCTCCTTAAATACAGCAATCACTCGCCAGTTATACTTCGCTGAACATTCCACATAACCACACTTCCAATGCTTACGAACTAAATTTACTATATTACGACGTTTCTCTCTGGAGTCACCGCAAGCGCTTTCAGCGATCGCAAGCTGCTGCAAGCCGCTGGCCGCCGACGGTGTGTTACTGCATAGCAGATCCTGTTTATTCCCAACAACGAGGACAGGTACGTTCCTCATATCTCTGCTCTCCACCATTTGTTCTCTCAGTGTTCTTATGTACTGAAACGTTTCAACATTAGACAGATCGAAGACAAGGATATAGGCAGTGGCGTTTCTCAACCCATAAAACCTGTAATGCGCCCATTCGTAGTACGAATTGATGGGAAAGTATGGGATAACAGGGACATCGGTAATCTTCACTTCGTAGAGGTGTTCGTTGATGATCACCGATGGGTAGAACGTGTGCTTACGGTCAGTCGGCACATATTCTTCTGAGAAGTCGCTCCAGACAAATTGCTGCAACAAATGTGAAGTTTCATTTAATATTAATTCGTTTCCAATCCGATTCTTACTAAATTACATGACGTAGAGTTGAGGTGTAATTTTTTTTATACATCTTAGCAAACAAGCTGATGGTATATCTGATGGACAGTGTTAACCGTGACATACTCACTTTAATGTTTATTAGTAAGCATAAATATGTTACGATAGGACGACTCTCCACTAGATGGAGTGACGACCTGAAATGCATTGCAGGGAGTCAGTAGATACAGGTGGCCTGGGACCGTTCTTTATGGCAGTCTATGGAGGAGGCTGATGTCCAGCAGTAGACGAATAATGGCTGAAATGATCATGATGATAAAGATATTAGTCAAAATTAGTAAGGAAATCTCATTATAACACTGTTTTTTTCTCTCTATAACTGGGTATAGATATTTCACACAAGAAGAGATACAATTAACCTCGTATTTGGTACGGAGAAGGCTATATGATACTTTTTACTCAGTCAATCAATATATCTTGGTTGCGCGAACACAGTCGCGGGTAAACACTTGTTGTTTCATAAATTGTAAACTACATTCCAGGCTAATACAAAATTCATGAAATACATCTTGCGTTATGTACCAATAACATTATGTAAATACTGAGTGACTGGATGATTCAGTACATGATGTTATTTGCACCGTACATAGATCAGTAGCATCTAGATAGGGTATCTTGCAATAAATGCTTCGACAACAACAATCTTAATAAATAAATATTTTTTATCCAATATGGAATGACAAATAAACAGATGGACCACTCGACGATAACCGTCCGATATTGCAGAATATACTGCGAATATGATACCCTGCAAGTGTTGCTATTCCTAAGGATTAAGATACCTCCAAATCCTAAATATCTTACTAATATAATAAAATGATAACTAGACATGACAACTAGACGTGAAAAGAACTATTAGAGAAGAGGTAAAATGCGAGGCGGGCCTGTGTTTCTGCTTCTAGATTATAATTTCAGAAGCACAGATACAGGCCTACCCTATCTCCTCCTTCAGAGGGGGTAGGGGGCAGGGAGAGCGCAGAAGTCGTCAGATCCTCAAGGCAAGTGCGGTAGACTAGCCTTCACGAGGTTGCTTGTTATTGGTCTAGTTCCTTAATAGACGTAACTAAAACTGCCGTGTGTCCAATGCAGGGATGGAGAGGTCATGTCCTTGCGTGTTCATCATCAAACAAGACTGATGGTGGATAGTAATGACCTCCCGCGTGTTTGTGCCGTGCGCGGAGACCCGTACGGAGGGATGAAGGAGTCCTGGAGATTGAGTGCAGCGGTGTGCCGGCGGTAGTTGTACGCTGCTCACAACACATCTCTTCGGTCTGGATTTCCTCTCAAACGGGCGGTCGTGGAGTAGCTAACCACGATCAATCGGCTGCGACATCCCATAAGCGGGCTGTCAAGCGAGGATCGGCGATTTGGGGAATAGTCGGAGCGGCACGGCGTCTCGAGGTGGAGCCTATGGCATTGTCTCGTGCCGTAGGTGCGCTCTTGATGCTTTGCTGCGTGCAGATTCACCTTCTTCTCAAGTTGCTGGTCCTATACCAAGATGTAGAACGAATGACGTCCCCGACGTGAGGGCTCCGTGGCGGGTGGAGAGCTCCTGAGGTGAATAAAATCAAACAACCTCATGGATAATGAGACGAATAAAGCAACAACAAAACCAATAACACAGGCTGCGTCTTTGAATGCGCCTGAACATCAACTACCAAAGGCTGCGTCGTCAGATGCGCCTAAACTTTCAGAACAAAGGGTTGCGTCTCAGGATGCGCTTAAGCGACAACCGCTCAAAGCTGCGTCCTCCGATGCCCCTGAGTCTAAAAATGCTAATGATGCGCCGAGAAAGGCTGCGTCCAAGGATACGATGGGGAGGGTAGCGGTACGGAATGCGCCAACCCAGGCAGCGTCCCGAGATGCACCATCCACGTCGTTGTCCAAGGATGCGCCATGCAAGGCAACTCCCTCTACCCGACCAAGGACGGCTACTACAACGGTGGAGAAGGAAAGACGCACTCCGAGATGCGCCAATTAAGGCTGCGTCAAAGGAAGCGTCCTCCAAGGGAAAACCAGTGGTGCTGACCGAGGCTGTGACGGAGGGTTTGTCCTCAAAGGCTGCGTCAGAAGCAGAAACAGGCTATCCAACGATGGATATGTCATCCCTTAAGGATGCCATACAATCACCATCGAACTCAACCTGGACAACAATAACTAAACCAATGTCGGCCTCTAAGAAGCGGCGCCTTAAAGCCAAAGCGAAGGCAGCGGCACAGTGTGCATTGGCAGCAGATGCTGCGAGGCAGATCGCGGGACCGAGTTCTCGCCCAGTGGAAACCAAACCAGTAGGAGAGGTAACAATGGGCGGGACCACGGCACTTGCGTCTGTCGGTGCGAGTGCTGCGCCTTCCATAGGCATACGCAAGCGCAGCATGAAACCAAGAGGTCGTAAGAAATCAGGTAATAACCAACAAAAACCAGAGTCGAGGGCGCAGAAGCGTGCACGTCCAGAGGATTCTGTAACACCGACTGGGGTGGGTAAAAAACCCAAAACCAACAAACCCCGAACGGTGAGAGGAACCGCTGCGTCGTACGCTGAAGCGGCCGCAACCTTCATCGCTAACGAGCTCTGCGTTGCTGTCATGATGGAACCTTTCTCTGACATGACGCAAGAGCAAGCTGAAGGTATTCGGCAAGAAATAGAGGACAAGCTTCGGGATGAGCTCATGGCGGAACCGGATGCTTCCCTTGAAACTGAACCTAACGATATAAGGTTCCGAGGCAGAGCACATTTTGCGGATGGCGTCCTCAAAACCTGGTGCGAGGATGCTTTTACGCTAGCCTGGCTTAATCGGACCGTCCAAAACATGGCCTCACCGATAGCTAATTCAAAATTAGTTGTCAGGCCACAATCAGCTATCCCAAAGAAAGTACCGTGTCTGCTTTTCGTACCAGGTCATACTGGCGATTCAGTTGCATTACGGAAGCTTTTGGCGCGGCAGAACCGCAACTTGAATATCAACTCCTGGACACTGACACACGAGAGGGCGAGATCGGATCCACCAGGAACCTGTCTGTTCTTCCGGGTGCCGGAAACGGATGTTAATCTGTTAAAGGCCCAGGACAGAAGATTATACTACCTCATGGGGAATATTTATATTCGGTTTCTGGATAAAGATGCATCCCCAGAACCCAATACAAACCCCACGCAACAACCGGAGGAGGCGCGAGCCCTGACGCAGTGCGTGACACCTAAGGCGACATTGTCGACAAAGGAAGCTGCGACCGTGTCTGGGCACGCGGAACCCCCGATTGCGATGGAGGTGCAAAATTTACCTTCTCCGAGATCTATCTCGGATGAAGAGTGCTTTCCGGAAGGGGGGAGAGAGTGAAACCAGCGATGGTGTCCTTTACTCCTCCCCTCTTCGGGAAGACTAAAATAATACAGACCAACCTCCAGCACAGCCAAACTGCAACGGCTTCCTTACGCAGAGTGCTGGAAAACAACACACAGACCATATCGCTGATCCAAGAGCCGTGGATCAGGAAGAACAGGATATGTGGTCTTGGAAACAGCGGAGGAAAACTTCTTCTAGACACCTCCGTAAGTAACCCGAGAACATGTATACTAGTACCGAAACATGTACCAACATTACTAATCAACGAATTCTGTTCAAGGGACCTGACAGTAGTCAGAGTAACTAGAACAGATCAGCATCTCCCGGATATTGTCCTTGCCTCCGCATACCTGCCGAGCGACGAGGACATACCAACTCCGGAGCTCAACCTACTGGTCGAGTTTTGTGAGAGGGAGAAGCTGGATCTGGTCATCGCTGCCGACTCCAACGCACATCATACCCTTTGGGGTAACGGCAAGTCCAACAACAGAGGTGAGGAAATGCTGCATTTTATTTTTAGTAATAACCTTACTCTAATTAACAAAGGTTCTGAACCTACCTTTATAAACGCTCGATCACAAACTATTATAGATCTAACTCTAACGACTGTTGGTATTTCGGAATCCATTTGCGACTGGCATGTATCCAATGAAATATCATGCTCAGACCATAGATGGATTCGATTCTCCATTAATATGGAGTTACCCAAACCACAGCCTAGACGTATACCTCGAAGGACTGACCGACATAAGTTTCTTAAACTGGTCAGGGAAAAATTCGACAATCAACTGCCACTATCAGATGATTTAGCGGTAACAGATCTGATAACAGTGCAAACTACATCACATCCATTTTAACCTCAAGCTATGAACAGTCCTGTGTCCTAACCACACCACAGTATGGAGGGAGACAACACTGGTGGTGTCCGAAATTGGAAAGACATCGTCGTAAGTTAAGGAAACTATTTAACATAGCCATGAACAAACGGTCACAAGAAGACTGGAACAAATACACAACATCCAAAAAACAATATAAGAAACTCATACGCCGGAGAAAGCAAGAATGCTGGAGGCGTTTCTGTACAAACATAGAAAACAATAACCAGGCGATTAAAGTAAAATCATGTCTCTCTAATGAGAAAGATCATACAATAGGTTGCCTTAAGAAACCTGATAATAACTATACAAAGAACGACACAGAAACAACCGAATTGCTACTAACCACACATTTTCCAGGTTTCCAGACTACTGCTGAGTGGTCATGGGAACCATATAAGGAAAGGGAAACCAGCAGCTCGGACTGGGAAGTGGCAAACAGAGTTATAGATAAAGAAAAACTACTATGGGCAATCAGTACCTTTTTACCATTTAAAGCGGCAGGCCTGGATGGAATATTTCCAGCCCTTCTGAAATGGAGCGGGAGCATCATAGCTGACTATTTAGTACAGCTGTTCCGAGCGTGTATAGCTCACCGCTACATACCTTTGAAATGGCGTGAGGTAAAAATTATATTTATTCCTAAACCAGGTAGAGGAGATTACACCGTGGCCAAATCCTTTCGACCGATCAGTCT